AGTCGTTGGTAGTGACACCTTTTGTTAGGTGCAAGATATGCAGATACGCAGTTGCGTACACATCATTTCAGCAACCTTCTGCATACCTCCCAAATCCCATTGGTTGATACAAATCGCGTGCCTGAAACTCCTGTTTTATGGTGCATTGTGACCCTAACCCTAACCCTAACCCTATTACACACACACACACAAAATTAATTATTGTAAAAATTATTTGTTGTTATGAAATTGTTGTAAATAAATTATGTAAATATTTGCCTTAATTGGAAATAGTTAAATGGATAAAAATAGAAAAATACAGAAAACAAGTAAATAATAAAAAAACTGATGGGATTCGATCCAAGGACCTTTGAGCCGTAATCCTGTGCTGTAGCCGTTGGGCTATGGAGGTTTATTGGCCGTCCATATTATGGATGTGCCATGAATATGAGAACACTGTGACATCATTTAGGCAGTTCAGGAATCCATGTTTAACCCTCCTCTTGAGGGTCAAAAGGTTATCAGACACTTACTCTTCGCACGTCAATGGAAAGCACATTTCATGGTCCTTTCAATAAAGTGATAAAAATGGGAGGTCAGTGCTGAAACAAAAAAGTTTTTCACTCTGTCCGTTAGCCCATGTCCTTGAAAATGTCTGATATCTGACCTTTTCCCCACTGCCCTTTGAATTTCGCACTGGTGATGGGTTTCCTGCACATCATACTATACACCGAATATTAAGAGCATAGGTCGAGCCGTTAAGATTTGTGCCGCAATTCCGTATTTCCTCCTCTACCTTAAGTTAAGGGGGAAATATTCCCCTTCCGTTTACACATATTGACCTTTGACCATTGACCCCTAAATTTGTCATCCTGAACTCTTTTTACAATCCCCCCCCCCCCGACGTCTTTAATATCGTGACCGTACGTCGAGCGGTTAAGATTTGTGCCCAACTGTTCACGCACGGACGGATGGACGGCCGCACGGACGGACAATCATGCGATTCTACAAGCTGCATCTTACTACGTCAGATGAGCTAAAAAGTGAACAGAATTACTTACATTTTGTGAAAATTTTAAATATTTTTGTTTGTTTTACTATTTGCGGTGACATAATCACTTTAAAATCTAACAATTATAGTATCCTGTTACAGCAAATTAAGTACTTTATTTTCTTAGATAGTTAGTAGATGCCAATAAGACATATACACTCGCTCTTAATATTATTTTTCATAAGTTGTTTCCTATATACTTTAAAAAAATGCCAGAAAATTGTATTTTAACATTTTGTACTTGGTGTGTATAATTATATTAAATATATTCTCTACTAATCTACATGTTATAAATCTATTTGGGTGTATATAATTTTTAGATTAACAATTCAATCTGTAAAATGAAAAGGTGATTCTAGGAATTTAATGCCAAGTTGAAGGATTTGGACGTATTCATGAATCCTTTACGTGCTTTGTCAGAAAATAAACTCACTGCTAAATTTCAAACAATTAAAAGATTTCATGTGTGCAAATTCAGCAGGCCGTAGTCAGCTACTTGTTGGCTAGTTGTTGGAAGTATCCTTGTTCATTAAGAGTTCAAGAAACTGTGTATAGTTGACTTTATACAGGTTATCGCTTTTGCCTGCACTCCCTCCATCCTCCACCTGTAAGACAGATTGCTTCATGTAAGTAGAGGTTTATTTCAAAATTCATGTAAAACAAAATGATGCTATGGCAAAACAATCAATAATTTAAATGTCAGAAATCTATATAGTGCTGACAGGATCTCCTCTTGTCAACACAATTATCATTCACAGTAATAGAGAGGGGTGAGAGACGGAAGGAAGGCGATAGGGAAAATAGACGAGGGGTGGTGGAAGAAGAAAGAGGCTGAGGGTGCGACAAGGGAGCCCAGGGAAAGGCCGGGCGAGGATGACGTAGCGGGTTTGCACCCTACAGGATAGGGCGCGCTCCTTATTATAAACACAGGTCTATTGATAAGAGTTTATTACAGAAACCTCTGCTGAGATACCTCCTGACCATACTAAATGGATTTTCATCACTAAATAAAACTCCTCTGGTGAGATATTGCGCATGCGCTAAAACAGCAACGTAGCCATGTGTCCTAGTGACTGATATATGCAGCTGCATGTGACCTTACATGCAAGGTCTGCTCCCTATTTCTGAAGTGAGGTCTACTGATAAAATTTTATCATATAAATCTATGCTAGGATAACTCCTCTTCATTTAAAATTCATAATTTCTGCAAAATAATATTCTTTTTGGGGGATTTTTCGCATACGCGAGCACCGTTTCAGGCGTGCAGTACAGCCTAAAGACAAATACGTAATATAATATAGTTGGCTGAGGGAAGGAGGGGTGAGAGACTAAAGGAAGGCGGCAGGGAAGATAGCTGAGGGGCGGTGGAAGAAGGAAGAGGCTGAGCCTGCGACAAGGGAGACAAGGGAAAGGGCGGGCCGGTATGAAGTAGGAGTTTTGCACCCTACAGGCTAGGGCGCTCTCCTAATTATAAACACAGGTCTACAGATAATAATTTATTACAGAAACCTCTGCTGAGATACCCCCTGACCATAGTAAATGCATTTTAATCACAAAATCTAACTCCTCTGGTGAGATATTGCACGTGCGCTAAAACAGTAAGGTAGCCATGCTATGTACAGACTGGTATATTAGCAAAAACCTTACATGCAAGGTCTGCTTCCTATTTCTGAAGTGAGGTCTACTGATAAAATTTTATCATAAAAATCTATGCTATGATAACCCCTCTTCATTTTAAAATCATAATTTTATGCTAAATATTATTCGTTTTGGGGGATATTGCGCATACGCGAGCACCGTTTCAGGCGTGCAGTACAGCCTAAAAACAAACACGTAATAGAAAAGGAGGGGTGGGAGACTGAAGGAAGGCGGCAGGGAGGATAGCTAAACCATGCTAGGATGCTAGGATACTAGCCATGCTAAGCTATGCTAGGATGCCCCCTCTTCATTTTAAATTCATAATGTTTGCAAAATATTCTTCTTCTCGGGAGATATTGCGCATGCGCGAGCACCATTTCAAAGGTGCAGTACAGCCAAAGGAAAAGTACGCATATATAGCATGCTGAGGGAGAGAGGGGCGCGAGTCTGAAAGGAAGGCGGCAGGGAAGATAGCTGAGGTGCGGTGGAAGT